GCCCCCCCCCCCCCCCCTCCCCCCGAAAAAAGCAACAACTCCTAACGTAAAACAAAAACCAAACAAACCTACATAGCCCCCTCCCCTCCTTTTTTCTCCAGAAAAACCCCCCAACCAAAATACAAAACTGCATTATCATCATCATCATCACCATCATCTTTCTCAGCCCAGACCAAAGTATAGGAGACAGACATAATTGACTTTCCACTTTGTCCTATCCTGGGCCAGTTTCCTGGTGTATTTTGTGAACCGCAACATGACAGGCTATTTATAGAAAAGTGGCAGGCTATTTATAGCAACACGACAGGCTATTTATTTATAGCAACGTGACAGGATATTTATAGCAACGTGACAGGGTATTTATAGCAATGTGATAGGATATTTATAGCAACGTGATAGGATATTTATAGCAACGTGACAGGCTATTTATAGCAATGTGACAGGGTATTTATAGTAACATGACAGGCTACTTATAGCAATGTGACAGGCTATTTATAGTAACGTGACAGGCTATTTATAGCAACATGACAGGCTATTTATAGCAACGTGACAGCGAGCACATTCGTGATGACGACATCCATACCAATGAATATTCATGAGGAGGAATAATAAAAATTTTAAAAAGCGGGAGCACTTACGTCCTGGGATCCACATTGTGTGTGTGAGCGAGTGAGTGAGTGAGCATGTGCGGAGAGAGAGACAAAGACAGAAAAAAACGACATAGTCACGTGAATGCCATCAAAGCACAAGGAAGTATATAGTACGTGTATACAGTATAATAATGTGAACATCGCCAGCCAGAAATACCACTGATGGAACCCTATTTTGTCTTCTTTTGGGGGGGGGGGGATTTTTTGGGGGGGGGGGGGGATCACGAGTGTAATAAAACGAATGCCTTACAAGTCACGATTAGATCGTTTCAGAGGCGTTTTGTTTGTTTTAGTTTTTTTCGTGTTTGTTTGTCTGAGTAAAGAAGAGAAGTACACAAACATCGATCGACACACAGAGTTGTGGGTTAGTGCAGGGGAGGGAAAAAGTCAAGACAGGTCGAGAGATAAACCAGAACCAAAGAAAAGAAGTAGGACCCCTCTGCCAGTTGCACCCACCAACCACCCGCTGATGCACCTGAGTATGATTGTCTGTGTGTGTGATACCCCAAACACTACAAGATTTAAATTTTTTTTTTGGGGGGGGGGGGATATCTCCTGCTAGAGTGCAGTGTGTGCGCCTATCACAAACAAATGGAGTTTCAGCAGGAACATTTCTGACACGCGATGCCAACAATGATAATAAACAACAACAAAAATAAATAAATAAACAAACAAAAAAGTTTCAAAGCACAGAATGAACGTACACAAATGAACTCGCAGCTTAAGTCCATACAGTTAATCAAAAACACATGACTTTCAGTGATATTTCCTATGTCGTTATGAACGCTATGTTATAATGACAAACCCATTCTTATTTAGGAAGACAATCAATAAATAAAAACATTCCCTCCAGCAACGGCATTTTATAATTGTAAGCTAATAAAGGGCGGTTTTGATTTTTTAATGAAACTATTCTAATTTAGAAAAAACACAAAAATACCTCCACTCCAACCACATTTTATACTTATTAGCCAATAAAGGGTGAGGTTAATTTCTATTAACCCATTCTGATTAAGAAAAAAAAAGCCAAAATCCCTCCACTCCAATAACATTTTGTACTTGTAAGCTAATAAAGGGTGGGTTTTTTTTTTTATGAACCCATTTTGATTTAGAAAAAAACCCGTCCACTTCAACACAAAACCCTCCACTGCAACGACATTTTGTATGGTAAGTTAATTTTTTTTTAAAGGGGGGGGGGGGGGGTGTGTTTTATAATAATAATAGTAATGGACTGCATTTATATAGCGCATATCCACTTATGCAATGTTCTATGCGCTGAACATGATACATATTTTGGATTTACAAATCAATTTTAAAGGCACATAGTGTTACATACACATGCACACACATATTCACGCACGCACCACATACACACATACGTACACACATACGTACATATGCACATACGCACATACAAACAACGATCTACAGCTTGGCTGGATTCTGTCTAATCGAAATATGATGAAAATAGAAATGCTTTTAGTTTCTTCTTTAAAATTTCTAGATTTTCTGCTTCTCTGATAGTTTTTGGAAGCCTATTCCAAACAAGTGGGGGTAAAATATGAAAAAGAGCGTTGGCCATATGATTTGTAATTTATTTTAGGCTTAACAAGGGTTGTTTTGTCACTTGATGATCTGAGCGTTCTAGGCGGCACATAGGGTGTTAAAAACTGTTTTAGATAGTCCGGTGATAAATCATTTAAGCACTTGTAGCAAGTTAAACAGATTTTATATATGATACGCTCTTTCACCGGGAGCCAGTGTAATTCTTTTAAAATAGGAGTCACATGATCATGCTTTAGTTTCTTAGTAATTATTTTGGCAGCAATATTTTGTACTCTTTGTAATTGTTGTAACTGTTCATCAGGTACACCAGCCAGTAAGGAATTGCAGTAATCAAGCCTTGACAATATAAGTGATGTTATTAAAGTTTTAGTGACACCAACAGATAGATATTTTCTAATGCTCCCTATTTTCTTCAGTTGGACATATAGATTTTTACAAAGATTGGATATGTGGGATTTCATTGACATATCTTGATCTAGCACTACACCTAAATTTTTTATTTAAGTTTGGGCTGATATTTCGTGGCCATTGATGTTTTTTCTGATATTGTCGATTTCATTGCATGCGCTGCTACGAAGAAATAATATTTCGGTCTTATCCTCATTCAATTTTAATTTGTTCTTGAGCATCCATTTTCTTATATCATTGACACAACTGGCGATTCTATCTATGAGATTGTGTACATTGTCAGTTGTAGTGAATCCATACAGCTGTGTATTGTCTGCATAAAGATGGTAATTGAGGGCATATAAAGAAATTATTGATGACAGACTTTGCGTGTACATTGTAAAGATGACAAGTCCAAGGACCGAACCCTGAGGAACTCCGTACTTTAGAGGTAACCTATCAGACACATCATTGCCAATTTTCACTGACATAAATCTATTTTCTAGATATGATTTAAACCACATTAGAACAGTACCTGATAGTTAAAATGACTTTTCCAATCTCTCTAGTAAAATTTCGTGGTCGATGGTATCGAACGCCGCTGACAAATCAAGTAGAACCAAAACACAGACTTTTTTATTATCGATTTCATTTAAAACATCTGACG